TGTGCCATGCCTCATATTGGGATGTTTTTTGCTGAAAAGAGAAAATGTGTACTTGGATCCCTCAGGAAATTGGCTTGTTTTTCCAGACTGGATATCCTGATGGGTTGATGCTTTTTGTGTTATAGACTGCTATGCTGCACCAGGTTTCTTCAGGTCGAAGTTTACGAATTCTAACCTTTTAAGGGAAAAACTTTTACTTTTTTTCTTCTGTGTTTTTTGAGACCGGGTTTCTCTGTGTAGCCCTGGCTGTCCTGGAACTCACTCTGTAGACCAGGCTGGCCTTGAACTCACGGAGATCCACCGGCCTCTGCCCCCAAGTGCTAGGATTAAAGGCTTGTACTTTTATTCTCTTCAGTGACAGCTCAGCCCCGACTTAGTGTTTTCATTTTGTGTTTGTGACTCCTGGGAGGACCGAAGCCTTAAGGGGTTGTGGGCTTTTTAGAGTGAGTTTGAGTGATCTCCCACTCCTTACAGTGCAGCTCTAAAAAAAAATCGGGTATTCTGAGGAAGTGACTTTCTTACCTAACATTTAAAAATGCTTGAAAAGGGTGTGTCAGGGGGTGGGGCCAGTTACCTACCAGCCTGCTGGGCAGCTGCACCTCCCTTGCAGCGGTGCTGATAGCTTTTTAAGTGTTCCTATCCGCGCTGTGCGGCAGAGCTTGCTTGTGTCCCTGGGTGCTGGGATTGTTTGGAATGTAATGTGAACAACGGGTGCACACCTGCAGAAGAGTCAAACCTTTGCTCTCTGTTTTTTGAAGGCTTTGGGTTGGTAAAGCTGGATGTGAAAACAAAGTCGTGCAGTGGTGTGGTAAGTGACTGTGGAGTTCCCATGAGCCTTTGATTTCGAATCCTGTAAATGTATGCAGCTGTTTTGCCTTGAGGACACAGAGGTTAATTTTTTTTTTTGAGTGATTTACATGTAATCTGATTTATTGGCTTTGGATATGATTTCTGATTTTCATGTTTTCTTATATCCTGTCTACATATGTGTTACTATATGATTGTACAAAGAAGTTGGGAAATTTAGGTAGAAGTTGGTTATTTGGGTAGATTACAAACTTGAAGGCCAGAGGCTTGTAACCCTTTCTCCTAATACCCTCATAGTTCTAGGCTTAATAGTAACTGGCTTTTTTTTTTTTTTTTTGGATTTTTCGAGACAGGGTTTCTCCGTAGCTTTTGGTTCCTGTCCTGGAACTAGCTCTTGTAGACCAGGCTGGCCTCGAACTCACAGAGATCCACTTGTCTCTGCCTCCCGAGTGCTGGGATTAAAGGCGTGCGCCACCACCGCCCGGTTTAGTAACTGGCTTTTAATATAAAAACTGAGGATTTAATATAATGGCTATATTCTATCAGTCATCCATAGAGATGTCTACATATGTCCATCCTAACTTTAATATCACTTAGCATGTTAATCCCTCCTAGCTGTTAAGAAAGGGATAAAGTAAAAGTATTGTGTGC